TGGCACAGGACAGAGTGGAGTTTAGGGCTGTTGTACATAGGGTCGCTATGAGTCGCAAGCGACTCGACGGCACATAACAACAACAACAACAAATATCAACAATGTAACAACAGTGTAATTCTGAAGTTTACAAAGGGAGGCCATAGATTAAATATGATCTTTCAAGGGATTATAGGCAGTGATAAATTAGAGAAGAAATGAAGTTCTTTTAGTATATTTGGAATTTGATGGCATCAAACATCTGTTTTGGTGGAATTGCAGCCAGGGTGTTCTTCAAAAGCAAAAATAGTGAAACTTTATCTTACATACTTTAGGCGTGTTGTTAGGCGAGGCCATCCTTGAAAAACATAATATTGGGAAATGTAGTGGGTCAGCAAAAAAGACGAAGCAATTGTAACAGTGGACTTCAGCATGGTGGAAAAATCACCATGATAGATAAGGAAGGGCACAATATAATATTTAAAGACACAGAAGACCAAGAAGACATAACCTTAACATTTAAATACCAAGTGATAGATTTGCATAATAAATAAAATAGTAGTTAACAGGCTTAAACAAAGAAGTAGACAGCACCTTAATAGTTGTAGGAGACTTTAACCTACCACTATTCACTAAAGGATAGATCACCTCAAAAGAAACTTAACAAAAATGCTGGTGACCTAAACGATACAATCAGCCAACTTGACCTTATGGATGTATTCAGAGTACTGCACCCAGCCAAAAATAAATTTATTTCCTTCTCAAGTGCACTGGTATAGTCTTTAGATTTGAGAAGCCAAGACAAAATACAGTAAAAAAAATTGGAATAATACAAAGTGTCTTCTCAGACCACAATGCCATTAAACTAAAAATTAATGATGATAGAGTAAAGCTTAGAAAACCACCCAATAAATAGCTAAATAGCACCCTGTGAGAACACACTTGGATTTAGAAGAAATAAAAAATTTCCTCAAAATAAATGATAATGAAAAGAAAAACATGCCAAACTCTGGGATAAAGTTAAGGTAATCCTCAAGGGCCAATTCATAGCAATAGTCAAACACATAAAAAGGGAGTTTTTATGTAGTTGTTATTGTTGTTAAGTGCCATTGAGTCAAGTACGACCTCTCGTGTCCCTATGAATAACGGCTCTGAACCTTGCCCTGTTCTGTGCCATTCTCACACTTCCTGACACATTAAAGCCCATTGCAACAGTCACTGTGTCATTCTACCTGTGCAAGCGTCTTCCTCTACCTTTCCAAGCATAATGCTCCTCTCCAAGGAATTGCCCCTCCTAGTAACATGCCTGAAGTATGTGAGGTGAAGCCTCATCATCTTTGCCTCAAAAATGCATTCTGGCTGTACCCTCTTCAAGACATCATTTTTTGTTCTTTTGGCTGTCCATTGGATGTTCAGTTCTCTTTTCTAGCACCACATCTCAAAAAAGATAACAGCTCTTCTGTTGTTCTTATTCATTGACCATCTATCTCTTAGATGCATGGTAAATGATTGGAAGGACCATGCCTGAATCAGTTGCAACGTAGTCCTTCAACTGACACACTCAGTTTTTTTGAGGAAAACTAAATACTTAAGAAATTATTGAGGAAAAAAGGAAAAAGAAAGCAAAATTAATGACCTACCTCAGCACCTCTATCAAATAGAAAAAGATCAACATTCTAACCCCAGAGTCTTTAGAAGAAAGAAACTTATATAAGGACAAGAGCTGAAATCAATGAGAGAGAAAACTAGAAAGCAGTTGTAAGCAACAAGACTAGGAGCTGATTCTTTAAAAGGATCAATAAAATAGACAAACCAGTCTGTTAAGCTATCAGACTAGTGCCATGACCTCTTCTAAATCCAGCTTGTATTTCTGGTAGGTCGCTGTCAATGTACTCTTCCAGTACTTTTTGGATAATCTTCAGCAAGATTTTGCTTGCATGTAATATTAGTGATATTGTTCGAGAATTTCTATATTCTGTCGGATACCTTTTTGTTAAATGGGTATAAATATGGATCTCTTCCAGTCGGTTGGCCAGGTGGTTGTTTTCCAGATTTCTTGGCACAATTTGATGAGTACATCCAGGGTAGGATCTGTTTGCTAAAATATATCAATTGGTATTCCAACAATTCCTGGGGGCTTTTTTTTTTTTGTCAAGTCTTTCATCATAGTCTGCACTTCCTTCTTCATCACCATTACCTCTTATATAAATGCAAAAATCATTAACAAAATCCTGGCTAGTAGAATCCAACAGCACATTAAAAAAAAATATTTTGGCATGAACAAGTGGAATTTATAACAAGTATGTAAGGATAATTTAACATAGGAAAATCAATCAACATAATTCATCATACTAACAATGCAAGGAACAGGAACCACTTGATCCTATCAATTGATGCATAAAGGGCCTTCAACAAAATCCAACATCCTTTCCCAGTTAAAACACACAGCAAAATAGTGATAGAAGGAAATTGACTCAGCGTAGTGAAAAGTATATACTCAAAAATGACTGGAACAGCACATCAGCCAAGAACTGCCAGATGTGCAGGCTGGATTTAGAAAAGGCTGTGGTACTTGAGATATGTTAAATGCATCTTGGCTGAAAGCAGAAAATACTAGAAGAAAGTCTGTCTGTGTTTCATTGAATATGCAAAGGCATTTGACTGTGTGGATCACAGCAAACTGTGGCTGACTCTGAGAAGAATGGGAATCCCAGAACACTTGATTGTATTTATGTGAAAACCATACTTAGACCAGGAGGCAGTCATCATTCTAACAGAGCAAGGAAACACAGCGTGGTTCAAAATTGGGAAGGGTTTATGTCAGGGGTGTGTCCTATCTCCATACCTTTTCAATCTGTATGCAGAACAGATCATCCTGTAGTCTGGCTCTGTGAGGAGGAATGTGTCATCAGGATTGGAGGAAGACTCATCAACATGTGTTATGGTACAAAGCACTACTGTGAAAAATAAAAAGAGATCTAAATAAATGGAAAAATGTTTCCCATTCATGGATAGGAAGACTCAATATAGTGAAAATGGGAATCCTACCTGAAGCAATCTATATTTAATGCATTTCCAGTGTAGATACTAAATTCATTTTTCAAAGAGATAGGAAAGGCAGTTTCCAAGTTTCTTTGGAAAGAGATCCCAAATAAGCAAAGCACTTCTGAAAAACAAGAATGAATTTGGAGGCATAGAACTCTCTAATTTCACAACCTACTACAACAGCTGTAATAATTAGAACAGCATGGTACTTTTACACTGACAGACAGAGATCTGTGGAACAGAATTGAGAGCCCAGAAATTAATCCATTTTTATTTGTGGTCAGCTGATACTCAACAAGGAAACGAAGCCTTGGAAAATGACAACCATTCAACAAATGGTGCTGGCAAAACTAGACTTATACTCGCCGAAAGCTGAGGCAGGAATTACTTCTCAAATGATACACAAGTATCAACTTAAGGTGGATTAGAGACCTAGTGGTAAGTCCCAAATCATAAAGATCATAATAGATAAAATGGGACCAAACTTAAAAGGACTAGCTTGTGGTATAAATAGACTGGCAAATACAGCCAAAATGCACAAGTAAGAGAGGATACATCGATGAATGTGAACTTCTGAAGGTCCTTGTGTGCATCAAAAACTTTGTCCAGTAGGGTGACAAGAAAGCCTTATGCCTGAGTGAAAACATTTGGCAATGCCATCTCAGATAAGGATCTCTTAACAAAAGTTTACAGGACTGATAGCCCAATTATAAAATTGGCAAATAATTTAGAAAGACTTTTCACAGAGGAGGACATTCAGGTGGCCAACAGATATATATATACACACACACATGAAGACATGTTCAAAATCACTTCTAATAGGAGCGAAGCAAAGCAAAACCACAATTAGTTGCTATATTATCCCATTAGCAGTGGCAAATTTTAATAGGACAGTAAGCAATAAATATTGGAGAGGATTTGGAGAAGTAGGAACTCTTAAATACTGGTGGGATTGTACAATGGTACAACTGCTCTGGAAGGCAATTTGGTGTTTTTTAAATAATCTGAACATAGAAATCTCATATGACCCAGCTACTTGACTCCTAGGGATATAACCTGAAAAAGATAGCACCAAGACATAAATAGAGATTAGTCTACCAATGTTCATACTACCATTATTCACAATAGTAAGAATAGGGAAACAAATGTACATTAACATATTAATGGACTGAGAAATTGTGGTACATTTACATGATGGAATACTCTGTTGCACTAAGGAACAACCATCTAGAAAAATACGAAATTGTGGTACATTTACATGATGGAATACTCTGTTGCACTAAGGAACAACCATCTAGAAAAATACGAAATTGTGGTACATTTACATGATGGAATACTCTGTTGCACTAAGGAACAACCATCTAGAAAAATACTGTATAAAGTGAAAGAGGCTGGAGAGCATTATACTGAATGAACTAAGTCTTTTAAGGTCAAATACTGCCCAAGAACATTATTATAAAAATAGAATAACTAGTAAGACGTGTATGAAAGTCTAAAGAGGGAAAGAGAGGGGACAGAGTATGAGGGGGTAAAAGGAGGACAAATCATGAGGTCACAGAGTTTAATGGGTAGCATGAGGGGGCAAAGAAGTTGGGAAAGATCCTGTGGGGACCTAAAAGTACAGTGTAATAATGGATGTATGTCAGTGGTGATTCATTTTATAAAATACAGTGTCTGAGAATGATGATAAGTAATACAATGTTGACAAAAAAAATATATATGAATTTTATATGCAGAACAGTATAAAAGAAAAATAATTTTAACAAATAAGGACAGCTTGTTCGTAAACATGCCTAAGACAAACTTTTGGCCTTTAGCCTCTCAAATTTTTACTACTTTTGATGAGTAATAATCTCATTTCATGGCTAGCCACATTTTTGTGAGATTTGCTTCTATGAGTAGTGTACAGATTGTTTCAAATAACCCTCTTCAGTCTTCCTTGTGAAATAGAGTTCTAATTTAAAAGTAAACTTTTTTTCAAATTATGATCTAATGATTAATGTTGCTTTCTACACAGCCTTCTGAAATTCTGTAACTCTTTAGGAAAGCACTTAAAATAATTCTATTTCGATTTAAAGGGAGGATCTTCCGCACCCTTGTTCATTGACCAGCCAGAAGAACCTGAATCAAATGCGACAGATAGCATAGAATTATTTGAAGACAGTCAGCTAACCAACCGCTCTAAAGCAATAGCAACAAAAACCAAAGAGATTGAACAGGTAAGAATATAATCTTCCTAAACATAATCTTTTATTCATATTATTCGTCATATGTGGTAATTAGGGTTAATATTTACTACATTAATGTTTTATTTTATCAGTATCCACTTTTGATATTTCACTTAAAAATGTAAAAATTACTCGGTTTAATTTTCTACTTATTTTGATCTGTGTAAACCCTCTTTATTACTTTTTTTATTTAGAAGCAAGCATCGTAGGAAATTCTAAATCCCTAGTTAGTATGAAGCATATAAAAAGCTATTAAGTTTAATAGAATGAACAGTAATGGATGAGTCAGAAAAACTACATTACTGGAAATTGCACAGACATAACAGAATAATGAGAATATTGACATGCTATGAAAAACTGTACTCAGTGCCACAAAACAATTTGTGTAGAAATTAAGTGAAAATCTAATCTTTCACCAAAAAACACAATTTTTATTTAAAAATGAAAATCCAGAGAACAAGAGACCTAAAAAAGACATTTAAACCTTGATAAGATCGTACAGCTTATATGCTGATACCCCAGTGGCAAAAGGGAAGAACCAGGAGAGAAAATTTGTCATGCAAGCCAGTAGTAGCATTTCAAAGTGGAGGTGGTTAGCAGTGTCAGATTTTTGGAGTAATATAAGGAAAGTGGAAACAGAAAATGTGATTATATTTGATGATATGGAGACTGTTTCAAGATAGCAATTGAATGATCATAAATTAAGAGTCCTGGAAAAGTGTTCCCTCCCTAGAATATTTTTAATGTCAATCTTAATATGATGAATTTATAGAAATAAATTATCAGGCATTTTACTCTTTCTTTCTAGCCTTTTTGACTTCTTGACAGTGTTTTTGTTTGTTGTCTCACCATAGTCCAAATCTCATTAGAGTGAGTGTGCCATTTAGTGCTTTATTATTACTTAAACTAGTAACTCTCATGCAGGAGGCTTAGCAAGAAATATTTGTGAATGACTAGTAACATGGTGCCAAAAACCTAACAGTCACTTTAAAGACTTCTTGAACCACTTCAACTCAGGAACTACATACATCTTAGCCTTAGCCTTGAGCAACTCTATATCCTAGAGCAGTTTCAGAGTCTCTTCTTGACATCCATTTGATCTTTTCTTTCTTCTTTTCCTGTTTGTTTTTTTTTAAATGACCTTTTACTCTTTATATGTGATGTGTTCTTCTTGGCATCACATAGCTTGTTTGATCTTTAGGCAATAGTGTCCAGTGCATCAAACTTGTTCTTGAGATGTCATGTGTGTTCAAGTGACATTTATACTCAAGATTGTGTCTTAGTCATCTATTAACTTTTTCCCCTAACATTAAGTTTTAGCTAAGAAAATCTCAAACTACTTCACTAATCACTTTTTTGCTGCTTGCCAAGGTCTTATCAGCCTTAGAATTTACTCTTAAGTCTGCAGTGGTCTATTTAATGTGAAATTTAGTTTTTAAATTTTATACTAACTGTTTTGGGTCATATACTTTCTTGATATAAACCAAACAAAATTTATAAAAGCAGTGCACCCAATCTTTTATAAATAATGTTATATGTATTTAATTCATATTTAACTTAGATTTTTCAGATATTTTCATTTCCCTCTGCTATTTTTTAATAGTGACAAGGAATTCTTACATCAAAACAATCAGTAGTAACATGTTTAATACCTTAAATATATCACTGGTTTGTATTCAATAAATAGTGTTTGTTGAGTTAATGAATTATGCAGGAAATACTTTCTTCAACAAGTATGTTACTTTTAATCAGTATTCTATCTATGACCTGCTATTCTTCACAGCACCTAGTTTTAGCTGCCATATATAGACTCTTGATTATCAGCACTCTGACTTGCTCAACTCAGCTCACTCTCTCACTATATAACATGTTAATATGTTATAAGGCCAGGAGGCTAAAAGTAAATACTAATCACATTTAAAGCCTTGAAAATGTTAATTTGATTGGAGTGCATTGAAAATGATCAGCTTTTAGCACATGATGAATTAAAGTGAAATAATTTTAAAAGCTCCACAAACATATCTATTATTGTATGTGCACAATTTAAGTATTTCTTGTTAACTTTACATAAAAAAAAGCATTCTTTGTTTTACTTTTTATCAGAGCAAGTGCCCAGTGTTCTTAAAAATTCTGCACTCACCACTATCTTGTCTAGACATCAAGTCTGCCCTACTGTATTTAACAATTCGTTATTACCAGTCCTTTGTGTAGACCTTACATATATTCTTTATTATACCACATGTATTTTTCCATACTTTGTAGTAAAAAAATTACTGGTCAGGAAGATCTTGTTCATATTAAACATTTTTAAGTCCAGAGATTTTTAAATAACATTCATTGCTATTCAGTTAGTACTAAAAAAAATGTAATTTAAATATCCATTCATTAGCAATTTTAATCAAAATTATTAGGTGAATCCATTGTGACCACACCTTAGGAAATGCATGTGATTTTCTAAGCAGAGTTTTTGTTCTTACCTAAAAATATTTTTCCATTCTTTTTGCTTAAGTAGTACATTATTTATTTTGATTGTGAAAGGAATCAGGAGTTCTATGTAAGACAGATGACTTAAAAAATGTTAATTTGTTGTTTTGGTTGAAAGCTTTCATGAAGGGAAGTTAGCCATATGTTTGCAGCATATTTAAATTTTGTTTAATTCACACTAAAAAATGTTTTTTATTGACTAAATTCACTAGTTGGCATAGTGAACTATTGTTTATCCTTAAAAGTAGTGCAACCAAAAAAAAATTTAATAACATCTTTTCTTCCTCTTCATTATTAGCATATGCTCAACTAGCTTATGCTTATTTTTTAATAGTCTGAAAAGAAAATTACCTAATTGATCATCTGTGTTTCATCCAGAATTTCTTGCCTTTGTTATTGTTTTGTGCCATTGAGTTGCTAGTGACCCTGTGTACAATATCTCTGAACCCTGATCTATCTTGACACACTTGTCCCCATTACCCCAGTCACTGAGTCAATCCATCTCGTTTAGGGTTTTCCTCTCTCGTGCTGTCCCTCCACCATTCTAAGCATAATGTTTTTCTCCAAGGACTGGTGCCTCCTTGCAACATGCCCAAAGTATGTCAGACAAAGCTTCCAAATCCTTGCCTCCAAGGAGCAGACTGGTTTCATCCTCTCCAGGACAAATCTGTTTGTTCTCCTAGAAGTCCATGGTATATTCAGTACTCTTTTTCAGCACCACAACTCAGCATGCATCTATCTTCTATTCTTCTATCATCCTTAGTCATTATTTATTTCTCTGATGCATAGCAAGTGATTGCAAAGATCATGGCCTGGATCAGGTGCACCTTAGTTTCTAGACTGACATCATTGCTCCTTAGTACTCTAGAGAGGTCCCTGATGGCAGATTTTTGCAATGCAATTTGTCTTTTGATTTCCTGGCTGCTAGTACCAAGAGTGTTGATTGTGGGGCCAAGTAAGCTGGAAGCTATTAACAATCTCAATCTTTTCACCACCTTTCTTCATGCTACATATAGGGTTTTCAGAGGCCTGCTATTTTGGAAGTGGATGGTCTTAATCTGAATGTTCAGATTTAGAGAAGTTGCCAACAGACAAGCATTTTACAGAAAAAGTGAAAATATATCCCTTATTGTGGAATTAACCATTAGCTTTGGTGTTGTCCCTGCCCTTGGCACAAGGTGTGTCTCTGGAGACTAAGGTGCGTCTGGTACAGGCCATGGTCTTTGTCATAACTTGTTATGTGTCAGAGAGTTGGACAGTGACCAGGGAGGATAGAAGGAGAATTTATGCTTTTGAGCTTTGGTGTTGGAGAAAAGAGTTGAGGGTACCATGGACTGCTAAGAAAACAAACAGATTCATCCTGGAGAGGGTTATACCGGGCTGCTCCTTGGAGGCAAGGATTCTGAAGCTTCATCTGACATATTTTGGTCATGTTGTAAGGAGAGACCGGTCCTTGGAGAAGGACATCATGCTTGGGAGGGTGGAGGGCAGGTGCAGGAGGGGAAGGCCCGCTGGGAGATGGACTGATTCGGTGACTGGGGCAGTTGGGATGAGTGTGTCAGAGTCAAGGAGATTAGCACAAGACAGAGCAGAGTTTAGAGCTGTTGTAGATAGGGTCGCTATGAGTTGCAAGCGACTCAATGGCACATAACAACAACAACAACATCATCATGCTGTTAATTGTTCCAATGGTAAGGATCTTTGTTTTCTTGATGTTGAGCTTCAGTCCGTATTGAACATTGCAGTCCTTGAACTTCTGCAGCAAATGCCTCAGCTCTTGATGAAAATTATTCAAAAATGACTGGAAAAGCACAATAACAGAGAACTGCCAGGTGTGCAGACTGGGTTTAGAAGAGGCCATGGCACTGGGGATATTATAGCCAAGATTAGATAGATCTTAGCTGAAAGTAGAGAGTACCAGAGGAATGTCAATCTGTATTTCATTGATTATGCAAAGGCATTTCACTGTGTGGATCATGACAAACTGTGGCTAACTGAGAAGAATGAGAGTCCCAGAACACCTGATTGTGCTTATGTGAAGCATGTACGTGGAGCAGGAAGCAGTCCTCAGAACAGAGCAGTGAAAAACTGCAAGGGATGCATCCTGTCTCCATACCTTTTCAATTTGTTGCAGAACAGATGATTTGGGAGGCTGGACTCTCTGAGGAGGAGTGTGACATCATGATTGGAGGAAGACCTCAACAACCTGCGTTATGCAGATGCCATAACCTTGCTTACCTTTGCTAGTCTGACAATAAATATTTGCTTAATTATTGAATGAATACAACTGGAAGGCACACTGAAAAACATCCTTAGCCCCTGTGGTTAGACGCTGCCTTTTTTTGAACCTGAGAATTTACCTGTTTTTGCTGGAACTAGGACATTTTTAAAATATGTTAAATCTTTGTCTACTGGATAGCTTTAATTTGCTGTTTTTAGGTCCTCTAAGAAGACATAAAGATGAATAGTTTGTTACATTTTGCACCAATAATCAAAAACTCAACTAT